CTATTGTACTTAAATATGGGGAATATCCTGCAAATCAAAGGACCTTCTTTGTGGACTCATATGTTGAGATTTAGATAAGACAGAGACTTGCTGAGTGTGACATCTTCGAGTGGCACAGGTTTGGATGGGGAAGATTCCTTGGAAGTTGGTTGTGCTCCAAGCAGCAGAAATGTTTAGAACGCTTATTTCTTTCTAGCACAGTCAGAGAGAGGTAGTGAGCCAATACATATCACTAAGAGACTAAGATTTATAAGAACATGCTGCAGAGTAAATTGTGCTGTCAAGCAGAGGAATGGTGTAGTAAAACAGACTCTCTGCACTAATCTTCTGAGGATCTTTGACACTGTGTACAGCAATCACAGATCTGCTGATCCTGTACAGACAGGAGGCTTTAGCACTCTGCATAGCAAACCCCATGTATTTAATTTTCCTCGGCATTGAAACCATAGGTATTTTGTAGTTCTTTTCCTCTGCCTTATGTTTTTGGTAGAGGTGAATATTAATGTGTGTTTGTAATCTTCATTTATGTGAATATTCTTGGACAGAAAGATTTCCCAGGTATTTTGAGAGCTGTATTTTTTCTTCCGTGGTGTGTTTGCATATAGTTCACTTTGGCAGGAAAGGCAGCAGTCGCTCAGAGGTCGTGTTGTGTTGTTCTTGGTGGAACAACTTGAGGCATTTGAACAAGAGAGCAGCAAAAATTTCTGGCATTGACTTCTGAATGTGTCTGCTGGGTCTGGCTGGGATGGAGTTGGTTTTCTTCATAGCAGCCTGTATGGTGCTGCATTTTGGATCTGCGACCATAACAGTGTTGGTAACAGCCCAGTGTTTTGGCTGTTGCTGAGCAGTACTTGTGCAGAATCATGGCCTTTGATTTTTCCTGGCTTTGCTCCACCATGAGCAGGCTGGAGGTGGGCAAGAGGCCAGGAGGGGACGCAGCCAGGACCACTGACCCCAGGTGAGCAGAGGGATATCTCATGCCACAGAGCATCAGCTCAGCAGTGAAATCTGAGCAGCAGGGAGATAGTCACTGCTCAGAGACTGGCTGGGCATCGGTCTGCTCGTGGGAGGTAGTGAGTGATTGCCATTGCACCAGTGTTTTGTTTTGGTTTTTTTCCTTTATCTTTTCTTCACTTATTAAACTGTCTTTACCTTAGCCGATGAGTTTTTCTCACTCTTGCTCTTCCCGTTCTCTCTCCCCATCCCACTGTGGGGTGGTCAGCAAGCGGCTGCGTGGTGCTTAGCTGGTGGCTAAGGTCAACCCACCCCAGCATACAATGCGTTTGGCTTTGAAAATGTGTTTCTAATTTTGTAAACAATGGAGAGCTGCCTGAAGAATTAAGAGTTCCTTGCAACTAACTACTCAGTTAGCGAGGGCAATATGAGACTTGGTAAATGTGTACAAATACGTATGGGGTTTTTTTCAATTTTAAGTTGTAACAAGCAATTGCCCAGTGGTGAAGGTCGACTTGCACAGCTGCCTTTTGTCCTTCATGAGTTCCTTCTGCTCTGCCTGTGGCCTGGCTGCTTGCTCCCTGCTTTACACCTGGAGAAACTGCATGACCGGTGACGGGATGTGGCTCTCCTGCTGCCCAGCTTCCAGGCACACTCCATTAGTTACCCAGCCGTGGGGTGCCCCCCTGCTCCACCGTGCTCTCTCTGCCTGACCTGCTGGTTCCTGGGGTACAGGGGGACTGTAAGCAAAAGCAGGAGAAACAAACCCTGTCCGTCATGGAGCTGAGTTTGTGTACATGGTGTATCAGCTCTTTAATGGACTTGGATTTTGCTCAGGATTGAATTACTCAGTTTTTACAAGGATGGTGTGCATCAAGGCCTTAGACTGAGTCAGGTGTAGAATAATGAGTTTCTCTTCCATATAAACTTAGGAAAGCCACTTAATTTTCTTGTATATCAGAAACAAATATAAGAGGTGGGCATTTTCCAAATCACAGTCCCAGCTGTTTTGTTCTAACTGACTTTAAAATGCGGAGCTTTTCGCCACCATGTGCTTCTACAATGCTTTGTTTCACAAAGGTTACCCAATAGGTAAAAGGATTAAGAGCATTAAGATAATTCCATAATTGTGAAGGGGAAATTAATTTTGTAGCTTTGAAAGGAAAGTGTAAATGTTTTACAGAATGGAACACCCTTAGGATCGGTATTTTAGCTCCTCATTTGTTTTTTTTTTTCCCCCTAAATTCACACCTTATAGTGTACAAGAGTCTTTCAGAAATAAATTTATTTCAAGTTTTCATAGTGCCTATAAGCCATCCTTTGTGCCAAATACCAGAATACAATATGAGGCATACTTATAGCAGAGTCACAGTCAAAAATTCATACTGTCGTTCTGTAATCATTATTAAATACATACTTACTGTCAAACCTGAATATTTAGAAATGTATCTAATTGTAATTACTTAAGAGGAATAATGAGCATGTTTAAGGATAATAATACCTCTGCGTGGCCCTGTTTTTGCAGGTTCGAATTTCGGTTGTTTGACAAATTCCTGAGATTTTGGGAAGAAATTTAGAATGGGAGTTAAATGGGATGAATACTGATAAAATTATCATCTTGAAAGTGTAGTTGCATATTTTTGATTGTAGATAATTATCACACTCAGAACAGAGACAGCCCGTCATATGAACAAAATGTGCTGAAATAATACATACTACTTTGAAAACTGAACTATTGTTAACCGGTGTAGCACAACAGCAGCTGATTAGTTGTTTAAAAATCTCATACTACATTTGAGCAAGAATGTCATAAAATAGTTTCAGTATTATAACTGCCAAGTAATTTTTCACAATCAAAGTGTTTAATTTCAGTGAAAAAAAATTCATATAGCCAGTTTTTCAGGGTTGGGTTCCTTTTGAGTGTATTAATAAAGAAGTCATACTGTGTGTTAGTGTAGTAATAGTAAACAGTTAACAGAGTCTGAAGGTCAGCAACTGATAAACAGAGGAATAAAACCATCTTGTTTTATCAGAAAAATCATAGAATCATAGAAAGTTTTGGGTTGGAAGGGACCCCTAGAGGTCATCTAGTCCAACCCCCCTGCAGCGAGCAGGGACACTGCTAACTAGATCAGGTTGCTAAAAATCTGACTTTTGATATTAATTTTAACCTTACTAGAATGTGAAGTTAATTATGGACAAGCTTAGATGCATTAAAGTTTGCTAATTGGAACTGGGCACTGAACACCTGCGTAGCTGACAGCCTTACGATGTTTTTGCATTAGAAGGCCCAAGTGAGAACAGTGGGAATACTCACAAGAATTGTGGCAAAATGATGAATATGCTGTTTTCCAAGGAACAAGCTTTACTTGCATAGGGGAAAAAAGAATACTAGAGTACCTATCATTGTCCTTTGTCCAGCAGGGATGGATAATAAAATGGTAATAAAATAAAATCTGTTTGTTTTAATCACTTGTTCATTTCACAGTAACATTTTCAATATTCATGACTTTCTGCAGGTTTACATGGGGGTCTCATTTTATGTTCCTGTTCTTTTGTGAAATACCTCGTATTAAGTGAGTGTGTGTATTTGAGTGCCATTAAATTGTTTCAGGCCTACATTTGTGTAGCTTAGTGTAATTAAAGTGATATTAATGAGAACGTTTGCATAGTGCTGGGGGTAAAAAGGAAAGAATACTGTTCTTATGGCACATTGTAGCACTTTCTAAATCCTAAACTGTAAGAGTGATAATGTCAACAAAGTTGATGATAATGCATTATTTGGTGTACGTTGACGAACAATTCTGTACTGGGAACATGGCTGGGGGCTGCACACTGCAGACTGGGCAGGAGTGGCCTCTGGATTTGTGTCCTGGCAAAGAGCCTTTCAAGTAAGAGGCAGAAAATTAATTCTTTTTCCCCTTATTCCTTGTCACTATTACATTATCAGTTGTACATACTTTCCTAGACAAATGCACTTGAATTATCTACTGTTTCCCTGTGAATTTTTAGAAAAAGTAGAAATTTTAGAAATAATTATTACATTATTACAAATGAGTGTTAAGAAGAATCACAGCCAACATACAGAGAAACTTTATTTTAGGATTTGGAGAGTTAAAAAGAAGTTCCATATCTTCAAATGAAAGATAAAGTTCTTAATGCGTGGTACTTGTAAGCATAAATTTGGGGAAAGCAGGCAATCTCTTGTTTGTGGACAGGCAATATAAGCAGTTATTACACTAAGTTTGTTCTGTCACCAAGAAGGAGATACAATAGAGACCATGCTAATTATAAAAAGTATGAGCCGTATTTTGGAAACACAGAGTTGTGATGTAAAATGGGAGAAACTCAGAACAGGGAGTGAGTTTGGCATCATTTTTAAAATTACGCACTGAAAACAGGGATCCCCAGATCGCATTTTTCACTTAAATTAACAAACTGATTTTTCAGACATTTTCACTGATACCACACAGTTGACTGGTGCATCTATCTGTATGTGGGCACCTGAACCTCAAGCCAGGCAACACCTATAAAGACCCAAGGCTGTCACGTGTCCCAGAAGAAAGACCCGAAACAGCGAATAGATTGATCAGAACTTGCAAACAGCTGCATTTCAAAGGAGAAGGTGTTCATGAATCCTTCAGGAAGCTTGTGAACATCTTTTGTTTGTATTTGGTTTGTTTGTTTGTTTGTTTGTTTCTACCATTGAATTAATATTTTGTTTAGCAATCGTAATGTGGCTGACACTAGGTGCTGTCGTTCGCTTCAGAAGGATGGTGTGACAGGCGTATCACAGAATCGTCAGATTTAGAATATTGCGAATTCAAATTGTGGGCTGTTGATGGAAGGGTAGGTGAAGAATTCCTGGATTTCATTCCCAGCTATGCATTATTCTTTGAACTTCAAATATTTAAAACATTTTTATTTAGTTGGAGAGTTGCTTATTAAGTGGATGAATCACCTTGAGTTTTTGTAATTAGCTGTCTTTCTGTGTCATTGTTTAATATCGCAGAGCTGATGTTCTTTTTCTTTTGACTCTTTCAGGTATGAATACAAGCAAGAGTGAGACAGTGAAAGAGCATCCATTAAAACCCTCTAGAAGATCTATGCCATGCCTAGCCCAGAGCCAGACACATCCTCAGAGTCTGAGCAAGCATTCATCGTTCCTGCAACCAAATCGTGTGCAGCCGCAGCCCTGGCCTCAGCCTCTGAGTGCAGGGACATCTACAGCTACGGTGGATGTAGTGTCAGAACGAGGTGGGAGGTTTTTCTCTTTCAGGAGCTTGCTCCAGCACTGGGAATGGAAGGGATCTATTCATTTGAAGGCCTGTGGTGTCTTATATGTAATTTTTTAACATCTCTCATTAAGTTAGAGGGGCATGTGATAAGCTTTGATTAGTTGAGATATCTGCAGTTTGTTGGAGAGATGTTTTAGCACAAAACAGCTAGAAGAACTATGATACCGAGTTCTTGAGTGAATACCTATAGAGTTTGAAGTGAGGCTTCCACTAATTTTTATTTTATTTTTCTGAATTACGAGATTATTTCCTTCTCCCTGAAAACAAGACAAGAACATTTTCCTGTATGCTGGGAAAGAGGGTGAAGATTTCTGTAGTCTGTCCTAGGAGAGAGAGAAAAAATAAATATTAGGCTTTTGGCAAGAAATGTCTTTAAGTATGAACGTGTAGGAGTACATACATTCATTGATGAATAGCAGAATCAGGGAAGAGACTATGGAGAGAATGAGACAAAAGGAAGAAAATCCCTATGAATTTTGGCTTGTATTGGAAAAAGGAACTACTTTTATTTTAGCATTCCTGTTTTAACAGATGAACATGCCTTACCAGAGAGACAAGTCTAGTTGGAGTCACCTGTTGCTGACTATTGCCATACACTGTTGCCAATTGTGTGTAAACCTTTATAGACGAAATTAACTCAGCTGGCTTCTGCTACTATATTTCAATAAGACCTTGCTTAATGTTGATAGGCACTAATTATTACTCTAGTAAATTATTTCACCGAATTAAACTTCTCTCAGGAATAGCAGGTCTTCATTAAAGTGACCCTGTTCTTTTTTCCACCACTGTAAAGCGCTTTTCAAAGTTTCAGCCTAATGTTTTTTATTTGAGTCACTGACAGCTTTAATAAGTGTATCTGTTCCTTACAAAATACATGTGAATGCTGATACGAATATTGCATTTATTCCAGCTAAAGTGATGGAGACTTTGGAAAACAACTTGCTTAAGCTGTCTAATACAGAATACAGTGATCCATTTTTAGGTAAGTTTGTGTCTGAGCTGAAATAATAATAAAGTTAATGACTCTTCAATTACACTTGCAGTATTTAAGTACAGAAAGGCCATACTTACCCTGAACTAGCAGGTTATACAAAAGAGGAGACTAAATGTGACTAAAGAAATATGTGGTGTCATAAATTTCCTGATACTTTCTCACCTTTTAGACTAACAGTAAATAGAGACTAAAGACAGAGAAGTATTTTTCTCATACATTCAGTGTAACCTTTTCCAATAACATCCTTCATAATACCATCACTTGGAAGCACGTATTTGAAATTCCTTTGAAATAGTTATTATTCAGTTGTTATTATTCCTGTGTTGTCAGTTTTTCAGTATTGTCATGGCTACAATTGTTATGTCGTTGTTTTTTATTTAGATATTCATGTATATTTGCTTTAGATATTCATATATAAAAAGTGTTCTAGTCTGGAGGGGAAAAAATAGTGTAACGCAGAAAAATAGCTACAATTGGGGCATACTAGTAGCTGCATTAATGCCATTTTGATACTTTAATTAAGTCAAAGAAAGTAGGAAAGGAGTTATTCTTGGAATAATCCCATCCTTGCAAGTTCAAAAGAAGTCTGTATATATACATACACGAGTAGTAATTTGCAAGTTCCAAAATCAATTAATTTTGAAATTCCCTGGCTGTGTATTACCCCGCTGAAGTACACATGCGTATTGCTGCACCTTGCACAACTGCTGTGAAAGATGTTTTTGCTCACAGTCAATGTAGCATCAAACTAGAAATCATATCTTTATGCTGAAGGGAAGAGTCTATTTCTGCTCACCTCTCACGTGTTTTAGCATTGATTTTTCTTGATGCCCAAAATACATGATAGAGAAGAGGCACTTCAAGGGCTCATAAGGAGTTAGCTATTGGAATGTGAGTGAAATGGGTACTTCTTTCAAAACAAAATCAAAATATTCCAAAAATGTGACACAGACCAAAAATTTGGCAGGAAGATTGTAGAAGAAAATCATGAGTCTCACTCAGGTTCCAGTTGAAGCTACTGCATTCTCTTACTGTAATGGATTTCATTGGATAGGGAAGCACGGGTGCTAGAAGATTTCACTGTTATAATTTGCTTCAATTTTGTTTTTTCATATCCTGTTCTGTTTTTTACTACTTGCTTACACATACACCTGCTGATATTATGGCATATTTATGTATGGCAGCAGTAATTCTTACGCATAGTAAGGGATGGGCTGGTTTCCATTCACATCCTCTAGTTTTAACCCGAAAAGAAACATGAAGGTCTCAGCGATGAGGAAGAGATAGATTGAATCTCATCAGCTCATAATTGTGTTGAACTGTGGCATGGATGTTTCTCCTCTTCTGACTACTGCTGTGCTCTTTGAAGAGAGAGAAAAAAATCTTTAAATGGTAGCCTTTTGCTAACTTGATTCATTAATTTGCCTGTGTTAATTGAGTCAGTCTGAAATTAGATTACTGAAAGAAATTGTTCTGTATTTAAAGAAGTGTAATGGGTTAGGATATTCAGCTACAATCAAGAAAGGAAACCGTATTTATAAATAAATCCCAGAAGTCCATAATAAGAGTTGCCTTACATAAAAATCAGCATTATCAGTTAGGTTTGTGAAGAGAAATCAGGGAAAGTTAAAGGTGCATTTAAAAAAATGGCCTTTTTGTAAACCTTCAGGATAGAGTTTGGTTGCATTTGGAGATCCTGTTTATGTGGGTATTTGTCTCCAAGAATAAAACTTTCCTTTTCATTCTGAGTCTGGGGATTAAAAAAAAAATAAAAGGAATATCGCTACTTGAACTTTGATCACCAGATAGGTGTGAATGATGCAGCACTGCTCCGTGCTTTAGTCGGTACTCTGACACTTTGATGGAGTTTACAAAATAGGCTGATTAATGGGTGTCATCTTCTCAGTGAACCTTTGCAAACTGCTCCCCTGAGAACATGAAAGAATGTTGAATTAAGTGAATGTCGTGAATTTTTAATTAGGCAGCATCATGAAACTGTACATAAAATAGGCCAAATGGCTTCTCCTCTTCCAGAGATGTGTCTAATTCTGTCTTCTTGTGAGACGGGGATTTTTATACATTTTTAATACATTTGAAAGTCACACCAGTGACACTCAGACATTTGACACTCATTCACTCAAAGGGAATGCAACATTATACTCTTTTTTCGAAGTCTTCTGTCTGTGGATACTTGCTTAAAACAACATAGTGTATATTTATATTCCATTCTGTTTTCACTGTGCTTTGTTTTGTTTCTGAAAGACATGCTCAGTAATTACTTTGATTGTGCCAGCTGGATTTAAATGATATAGCTGTAACTTCTGTTGCTGAATTTCTGGCTTTACTGCAACTACCAATACTAGCTTGCGGCTCTCATTGGAGCTGGAAAAGGTAAGTGGGGAATAGTTAGTTCCTAGTAGCTACATAGTAACTACATACAGAGAGTCACATTCATAAAAATTTAGTTTCCTCCAGAACTTTTTTTTAAAGTTCCACAAACACAACAGAATTGCAGACACTTTAACTAATGAGTTCATCCAGGAGCTGCTCCAGTGGTGCGGAGGTGTGTCTGTGTGCACATGCGTGTATAAAGAAACAGTACTTGGTAAATTTTTAAAATAATACTTTTCTTTTTTCTTCAAGGGCATCATATGCATAAAGGGAATGAACCTAATCTTTGAAGGATCACAAATTTGGCTGGCCATCTTTTAGAAAAGAAATCTGAATGTAAACAATTTTGGTGAGGGTTATTTGCACTAGAATTTTGTCTCCATGTACAGCTGAAAAATCTTCTTCAGTAATCTCTGTTAAAATTGTAGGAGGTGGTTACTACCTAACTTTGGAGTTTTGAGTGAGCTTTAAGAATCAGTTGACTGAGTTTAAGAGAATTTAGCCATTCTTTATTGCTGAACTGAAAATGAAGTACTCTTGAGTTAAGCTGAAGGGAATTTACATGGTTTGCAGGAGAATTTGTTTTACTTTATTGCAGTAATAACTCCCTTTTCTAAGAATAACTTTTTTCTTGTCATGACTGAGATAAACGCCCTCTTCTGATGCATGGTACAGGTGAAAAACAACTGTGTAAGGTGCAAAGGTTTGCAAAACCAGTAAATAATATTCCGCTGAATGGTCTGATCTTTTCTCAAATCATCCTTTGGGTTTAGCGAAAGGAGCAGAAGGACAGTGGCGGTATTTGGACTGATGTGACATGTTTTTCCATTTGCTAGATCCCTTTCCATTGTTAAAATCACTATCATTAGTATTGTCAAGTTTGACTTCCTTTTTTTAATGTTCACTTTCAAACACTGTGAGCCAGATTTACAAAAGGGATTTCTTATTACAATATGGATTAATGCCTTTAAAAATCCAGTGCATCACATATATAGCTAAAGCGTCAAAATTTTCAGGAGTTAGGCCATATTGGAGATCCAGTTCAGCTAGGAGAAAGACTTGTGAGTCTGATAGTCTGCTTGTTAACTTCAAAATCCAGTTTGCTCATTCTGACACAAATAAGCATGTAAGTAGCTTTCTGCAGATCCTAGAATCAGAAATGGTAGAGGATCATCTCAGGAACTGCCCTCCGCTGTTAGCCTGAAATATTTGATTTCAAATAACATGGAAGAAATGAGTAATGGATATTATAGGAATTAGCATTCAGGATTTAGATGCAGTGAGTATCTAATTTTAAGTTATTTGGCAAATAAAATCAACACTCGGTAGCAAATCAAACAATACTAATTACTTTAATCTTTTTTCAATTTCTTTTTTTCTGAATTAGGTTATGAGGGATTTATGCGCAGTAACTCATCTTCCTCAGCATGACATGAAATCTGTCCTAGACAGGAACTTGATCATGAATTATGTAGTTCATAATTTTGTTGTAACAGTTACCTTGTATCCTGAATCCAGTTACTACAAAGTTTATATATAAGAAACTCACTATTTATGTGGCATGCTGCAATGTAGTGAACTGAGAAAGGAAGACCTGAATCAAAATGAGCAATCCAACAAATTATCGAAACAACTGCATGATAAAAACCTTTTTTCAGTACTCCATTTCAGAAGTGCTTGTAAGTGAATTTTGATTAAGTGATGTTATGACAAACCAAAATGGACAGAATAACCTGTGCAATACATGCAGTGCTTACCTGAAAGGAGGGACTGAAAGAGCACGAAGGATATGACTCAAGAAGGCCAAGTTCAGTTTCTGCTTCAGCAGAAATGTGATGTTTCCATTGTGACTTTTGGAATAATTTTTTCAGAAGCTTGTGGCCCTTAGGCGATGCCTGCATAGGTAAGGGCCATCATGTCTGTTCTGACTGTGTTCTGAGACGGCTGAGAAGCTGCATCAGGGATGGTTTTTCCTGTACCTGGTGTGTGAGGGAATTGTCCAGCTCCCAGGTTAGAGCGGGTTCATGCCCGGAGAGCTGGCAGCACGGATGAAGAAGCTGTATGACCTGTCACAAGCATAGTGCTCACTGAAACGTAAGAAGGATTAGTCTTTGGACTTAATATTGAGGTTCAAAACTTCAGAGTGCTTTAGGCATTTAATGTGCCTGTACCATTTCTGTACACCATCTTAGCTCCTCCAAACAGCAAGAATACCTGCCAGACTCCCTTTTTAAAAATGAGAAATATTCTGTGTAATGGTTACCACTGTATGAAAGCTCATGAGAAACTGCACATTTAAGAAAAGTCTACGCTTGTCGGTTATAGTAGTTTTTGGTTGATGAATACACATAGACGGGTAGCTGAAAAACCTTCTGTGTTACATATGCAATATAGTATTCCAGGTACACAGCACAATAAAACAAGAAGACCCAAATCCCATCACAGTGCCGCTTATCCAGGTGTCTAGTGATATCCTTCTCCAGGTTATTTGTTGTTGCTAGGACTAAAATTAGGGCAAAAGGGGATTAATTTCTTGAACAATAACCTTATTCTTGCTAAAGCCTTGCAAGGCCTGTACCTAAGTGTGTAAAGGCTCA